AAGATAATTGATGGGTTAACAATAATTCAAAGGAAAATTAATAACTAATAGAACCAAAAGTCAGAAAGAGAATGTGAGAATGCACATTAATTAAACTTACTTGGTTGATATCCAGCACAGCCCATTCCCACCAAAAGGATTTACAAAGCTGTCAGTGATGAATCTGTGTCCACATTTACACCGCATCTGACCCATTTTTGTTTCAAAATTAGCAGAGCCCAGTGGCCCTTTATCAGAACTGGTAAAAGCTGGGAAATTATGGTAGTTATGTTGAAGATGGGAGTGTGGTTGTGGGGCGGGAGAAGGGGTGTGGGGTTGGGGTGTGCGTGGAGCTGGAATTAGCCAGATAGAAGGAGATGGTGAGGGAAACTTAAAAGTACTCATGGTGAACAAGAAGAAAGATTGGAATGGAAATCCTGTCGGAGGGAGGAGCTGAACTTCTTCAAGTTTGGCATACCTAGGAGAGATGTGGCAGTGAATAAATGGGTGAAAAATGGCAGATGGAGTCCAATCTGGATAAATGCGAGATATTTGTATTTTAGTACAACAAACAAGTGTATGGCTTATCCAATTAATAGTAGGGTCTTGGGTAGTGTGGTAGAACAGAAGGACATAGGGGTTCAGGTATATAATTCTTGGAAGTTCGTGCCACATATAGACGGGATGGTTAAGAAGGCACTTAGCACTCTTGCCTTAATTGTTCAGCACTTTGAGTATAGGAGTTGGGAAGTCATGTTGAGGTTGTACAGGACATTGGTGAGGCCTGTTCCGTAATACCGGTGACCAGTTCTGGTCACCATGTTATAGGAAAGATATTATTAAGCTGGACAGGGTTCGGAAGAGATTTACCAGGATGTTGCCGGGTATGGAAAGTTTGAGTTATAAAGAAAGGCTGGACAGGCTGGGACTTCTTTCACTGGAGCATAGAAGGTTGAGAGGCAACCTTGTAGAAGTTTATAAAATAATGAGAGGTATAGAGTTAATGGTAGTTGTCTTTTCCCTAGGATGGGAGATTTCAAGACTAGGGGGCACATTTTTAAGGTGACAGAAGAGAGATTTAAAAAAGACATGGGGGCAAATTTTTTTACTAGTCACACTGCTGCTCACCATGTAACATGAACAGTTAAATCCACATCTGCAGCTCTGCCTACCATGTCATCTGGGCAGATCAGCTCACTGCACTGTCTGAGCTGCTGCTCATGAGGCAAGTTTCTCTTTAAGTGTAGGAAACTGCTTGGCCTGCCTGATCTAGTGTGGCAGAGGGAAGCCAATTCCTGGCCTAAGTACAAGTATCTCTTGTGGTTCGCAAAACTTTGTTTAATGCATGTTTTCAATAGTTACAGGTTACATTAATATGATAGACATTGACTTTGATCAGATGACCAGATGTTAGATCTTACTCTATTAAGTTTCTAAACTGTTCGACCCATACATCCATGTGACATCATCAGAGTGGCACTCCTTAGGGATTTCTCTTCACGGATGCTGCCAGACCCGGTGAGTTTTTCCAGCAACTTCTGTTTTTGCTCCTTAGTATTAACCTCTTTCAGACACATATACAGTATCCTACAGCAGACGTTTTCGTGGACTTCCCAAATCTGAATTTTGGCTGTTTTTTGCAATTCAGACTCGCAAAATTCATCTTCCTAGTAGAAATTTTAAAATCGCCCAACTCAATTAACATTCAAGGTTAAAAGATACAAACTATTTCAAAAAAATCTGGCTCTTCAGCTTTGGGTCTTGCAATTTTTTGTCTTCCTCTATTGATAACCAAAAGAATTAAACTCCTGCCACATTTACTAATTTGAAAGCTGGCAGATATATGATTCCAACTCGGATGTTGAGAGGTGACCTTATAGAGGTTTATAAAATAAGGAGTATAGATAGAGTGAATGGCAGGTGTCTTTTCCCGAAGGAGGGTGCATTTCAAGACTAATGGGCATATTTTTAAGACGAGGAGAAAGATTTAAAAAAGACACGAGGAACAACTTTTTTTTTACAGAGAGTGGTTTGTGTGTGGAATGAACTTCCAGAGGTGGTGGTGGATGCAGATATAGTTACAATGTTTAAAAGACATTTAGATAAGTACATGAATAAATGTTTGGAGGGATACAGGAAAAACGCAAGCAAGTGGGATTAGTTTAGTTTATAATTATGGTCAGCATGGACTGGTTGGACCAAAGGGTCTGTTTTTGTGCTGTCATAACTCTCCGACTCTATGACTAAAGACCGCTCGAGGAGACCAGCAACCTGTAAATCCTCAGTCTGAAAATTTTCCTTAAGCTGCATCAAATAAATTGTTGGAAATGTCTTTATAAAGTATATATATATTTTATTTAATATACAGTGGCATTATAATGCCACCATCCAAGCAAATATGAAATTGTATTCTTCAGTTTATAAGTTGATCATGTTTCTTTTGAATTATACGAACTGACATTGTTGGACTGTTGCTATAGTTGCCAACCTGTCTTCATGTTAAATCAAAATAGTCCCATTCCAATTTGACAATTGAAATTGTGTCAGGAAAGCCGAGCATATTGCTTGATTAAAGCAGTCACACTTGAACGACGAGATAGCTCAAATTTGTTTTGATCAATATACAATTTTGATTTTGGAGTATTGATATCCATGTTATTTGGATTCCATTCTCCAAACTCAAGTAATAGTTCACATTTGTTACAGAATTAATTAAATACATATCACCATAGTAATATCTCAAGTAACTGAGTATAACACCAGTGGTCAATTTCTGTGGAAGGCTGTGGGGATTTCAAGCACAAGTCCAGAGCCAGAGATGTCACCAAAGTTTATTCAAACATGCACAGAGAAGAATCTTCAACAAGAGGAAATCTCCTGCAACTTTTAGTCACAATAGATATTCGCAGAACAAATTCAGGAGGCAATGTTCCCCCACTTGGTAACATTTTGTGTCTCCTCATTTAATTATACTTTGAGTCACTTGCGTAATCACATTTATCCCATACACACAGATGAAAAATCCAGA